TATCTTAGAATTATAGAACAGCAAAATTACATTTACATGTGAACTATACTTTTATCTAAAAATATGTGAGAGTATGTGACTATTTCGAAGTCCTGATGAAATTATATTCTGTAGCAAGAAATTCTTCCTGAAGTTGGTAGTGAATTTGTTTAGTTCTTACTAACCACTGAGGTACCAAATTTGCTAACAGCCTAGAGTCTGACAGCAGCTTAGAGGAAAATGCAACAGTACTAAAGCCACATTGATTTGATTTTATGGATGACATCCGTGTGTGCATTGATTTTCGCCACGAAAAAAGTACCTCCGAGGAGGCTCTGGCCAAGATGCCATTCTTCATAGTCCACAGTAGCTACTGTAGCGACAATAGCTGGGAGTCGGCTATAACAGCAATAACAATATAATAGGGACCAGACTGCTGAAGCGCCACGGAACTCAAGAAATCAGTACAGTACCGGCTTGTCATAAAGTTTCTATGTACTACATGTAACTGCAAATTCACAATACTATGCAGCTTTGTATTCCTACATGGTTTAGCAGCATTTTTTTGCCTGGATTTTTTTTTCATTCGCCCATCCATAATTGCATCCATAAAATTAAGATAGTGTGGCCTAATGAAAATTGAAATAGGTGTAATTTAACAAGCAAAACCAATCATACAATGTTGTGCAAGTAAAAACATCTAAATTAGGCCACACCAATTTAATTTGTTGGTTCTCGGATTTTTTCAGAAAAAATATGAAGCGACAGGGCGAAAAAAAATAAAAATAAAAACAGGTCTAGGCATCCTATTATAGGCTTAAATGCTATGAAATGAGCCATGAAGTCAACACAAAAGGCTGGGTTAAAATTTAAACATTGAATTGTGAACTTTTAATCAAACCACTGCAATGATAGATGGGAAAACTGTAACAACTAGGAAGAAAAGGACTTTCCTCAATTGTTTGGGGCAAAACATGAGCATTTTTCAGTTGATTCAGGACCAGAATCAATTTCTTTTTTTTGCAAATCAGAAAAAAACAAAGAGGTGAATCCGAGAACCAACAAATTAAATTGGTGTGGCCTTCTAAGAATAAAGTGGTTCACATGATTGACATGAATGTTGTTGAACAACGTTAACACAATTTGTTTCTTTTCACAATGATAACAAACCCATGTCAGTGTTAGAAATACCCATGCATCTGTAGTCTGCATTTTGCAGAGACATTTTCAACATCGTATAAGAAAAATTACTAAGCAACCTCCAATTTTGCAGAATCAGGCTAGGGGGTTCAGCTTTTGTGTTTACTCAACTGACTCTATAATATATTATATGCCAAGTAATTTTCCATTGTGTTTTTTAAATTGCATGTAAAATGTTTGCCAACATGCATATGCCATGGGTTTAGATCCAGACTTTTAAGTGCGTACATGTATTTGCAGAAAGTATCTCTGAATCGCAGAACAAAATGTTGACATTCTGCAATATTGCAGAACACTGACCAAAAGGATTTCTACCACTGTCTTGTAGTAGACATACTAGTAATAATACTCAATAAGATGAAGTAACATGTACCAGTAGCCTACTAGTAATCATATCTTTCAACCTACCTGTGAGACATTCAGAATAAATGTCAAGTGCTTGATTTGTACTGTCTGCTCCATACAAAAATAGACAACTGGTACTACAAAACATTACCTGGTCCAACTGGGTGCTCAACAGTGACTGTAGCGTATGACGGTTTGCTCACCTGTGCTATTTCCATAACTGCCGTTATAATATGCCACAGAAAGCCACACCCACACCATGGACACAGACACGTTGTCTGCTCATGAATAGTCATTGACACTACGCACACAGAGAAACCAGAGACGCGTAATACGGTGGACACAAAGGGGTGTAATGTAACCATAGAGTCATAACACTGGGTCGGACCTTGGGACAATTATCAATCTTTGTCAATGCCACTGGGCGCAACATATCAGGGGAGTCAGTATGTTGCATCTATTCATAAGGGCACACCAATTTAATTTGTTGGTTCATGGATTCACGCCTCTGAACTCCAAAATGCTCATATTTTGGCCCCAGCAGTTGAAGGAAGTCCCTTCTCTTCAGAGTTTTTCCATCTATCAATGCAGTGGTTTTTGAAATTCATTGTTTGAATTACAAATCGGCCTGGTATATGGACTTCAAGGCTCCTATCATAGAATGCCTAGGTCTGTTTTCATTTATTTTTTTCGCCCTGTACATGTCGCTTCATATTTCTTTGTAAAAAAATCTGAGAACCAACAGATCAAATTTATGTGGCCTAATTATCAGCAGTTCAGATTGGCCGGCTCTTTATCCTTCCTACAGTAGCAACATCGGTATCACATGACAAATGTGAATGAAGTAGAGGGTATTGATTAACTCCTATGAATAGCACGGGAAGGCGGTAAGACACCGGTGTAATAAATGACACACAGAAGGCTTGACGTCAACGCTTAACAGATTGACCACAAAAGAGATCACCGTTCGTTTGTGGTTGAGACTGATGAATGAGATATTCAGTACGTTATACTGATCCACCTGCCCTACTAAAGACAAGAAACGTCTGACGCCATGGCCTACATACACGTAGATTAAGTTAAGATCAGACATGCTCTAGTTGGAACATTTCATGCAATTTATACCTGTCATACAAATTCAAATGGTAATAGCTAAATAAGCTATACTGGTCATTACCCTAAATGATTGGACACTTTTCAAAAGACAATTACTAAAACCTTAGGAGATGAGTGCATGTTTTGAGACCAGGTCAAAATCTATCCCTGGCCAGAATGCATCCGAGCATATCCAGGCTAGGGGAATACTAGGTCTACTTACTATATATATATATAATCTGGTAAGTAAAAGATTCTGAAAAAAATTATATACATGTACCTTTAATTTCCAGGCACATTATACTTATGATAGACAAATCAAAAGAGAAAGCTCACAAAAGTTTACAATTATCATACTTAGATGTGGTAAATCAACACTCTATTCAACATACGAGTTGTACAAACCTAATAAATCAATAAATCATGTCACTACTTATACTTATAAGATTACATTTCTCTGAAGTGTAGACCAGCAGTTTCCAAAGATATATTGACAAAAATTCAACACTCCCGGTATATAGAAAATAATGGGCACACAAGGTACCTGTGGTATATCTGGCACATTTGAAGCCCTCATAGTATTATTAGAAATATACAAGAAAGGATACATGTACATACGTAGGGAATATGCAATCTTAAACACTAAATTGTAACACTAAAATTGAAATATATTTAGATGAGTCAGAGGCAATATCCTGCAGCCTTTTAGCCGACATTATGTGGTATAGCTACTTATTTGACACACTAATTACTAATAGGTTTCTCGAAATTCTAAAGGATACAGATTAGGGTTAATCTCCATGCAGATGCATGGTTTTAACTTGTTTTTTATGCAGCTCTTTTTGGCGCCTTTCTTTCAAGTGGCATGACCCGCACACATTTATTGAAAAAACACTCACCACTTGAGAGAAGTCTAAAACAAGCAAAAGATGTACAAAAACAAGTTGATGCCTTACATATGCTTGGAGACGAGGGTAGTACCTGTTTTTTACAGCTACATGTATTATGTTAGGATGCTGAACCTGTAGTGTATGTTAAGATATTTTCGAATATAGCATATATCATACAGCATTTATTCTAAGTAATTAGTCAGTTCATATGGCATACATGTATTATGTATAGTAGGATATATAACATTACATTACTAGGAATATAACCCTATATCTAAACGTCACGCTACATGTATATACAAAGTATAATGTCCTTGCACCTACTAAGAATTACATGCTTTTTTACCTGTGAATTACAGGAAATTAAAATAGTCACAATGATTTACAGAAAGGGCATGAAGACTACTTTAAAATTTTATTATATGTTTGTCTGCAGGATGCATTTGTTCAATCTCCCCCTCCCACATATACATGAGGGCCTGCATGGGGGTCCCGACAACACTATCTATGCCAAATTTTTTATACGCGATTACGTTTTACGATAAATTCGGGTAGCTAGGTATACAACATAGAATCAAAACGGCGAATTACGCTCTACCCTAAATGCGCCGAATACACTCTACGTTGAATTAGAGCAGTCTGTCTACGCTCTACGAGTCTACGTAGAATTAAAATGGCTGATTACGCTCTACGTAAAAGGGCATGCAGGCCCCCATACATGTGTGTTATGTCCATCTGTCATTTTGGTCTGTGTTGGTTTAGGTAATATTTAAGACACGGAAGGAATATGGAAGAAAAGTTGACATGCAACGTTAACAACGAAGCTTCTAAAAATTCAATCAGACTCTATAACCGGACTGTACAGACAGAGTCTGGCACAGGATAATGGACCTTGTAAATATCTGGGTTGTACACCTACTGTACTGTTTTTATAGTTGTTGTAAATATATAATTTTTTGACATTTTATCTTGTAAATATCAACGCCATTCAGGCAACATTGTATGTCATGTTTGTCTGTTATGTTTGGTATCTAAATAAAGAATTGAATTGAATTGAAAATAATCTAACCTCACACACTAATAGCCTTTGTTCACTTGTACCTACCACCGGTAGCTGTCAAGCGCCACAAGCTATAACCAAAACAAATTTAATATGCCATATAAAATTATTTATCAAAGAGTTATCTACAGGATAAGCTGGTGTGTTAAGCCAAAAGGCGGTTATACCGGCTATACAGATACAGATACGGGATTGTGCCCACAAGATACCACAGTAGATACTGATATTGGTTACAATTTTCCCACTTTTCGGGTGTACGTTATGTGCTCTATGTACACACATCATAACATCATATTCACAGGTGTTTAGTCTAACGTTACACCTCGGCTTGGTGACGTTACAAACTCTCCCCAATCCAATTAAGAAACATTTCTGGCCATCTCTGGTGTCTAGAAACATTTTATAGAAGTTACGGCGGGAGGACAACTCACCTGGGTGAACTTTGCTACGGTTGGAGAAGTTTCGCCGGCCTTTTGCAGGTGCACCAAGATTCTTTTCATTGGTATCTCCGCCATTTTGTCTAAGGAATGATGCAAACTGAAATAGGGGGTCTTTTCCTAAGAAAATATATTGCGCTATCTGGGAACAACCTTCCCTAATCTAGGCCAATTTTAGACAACTCTATTGCATAATCCTATTTTGGGACTTTGGTTACCAAATACTTGCTTTTTGATGCAGAAAAAATACTTCATAGTTTTATCACCCCTCCTTCCAAAGTGATAGATCCCAAAGTTACCTGCACTCGTTTTGCATAATTTTACAGCTGATGTCCAAAATCAATGCGCAAAGTATTCCAGAATCGATTGCCTAATTGAATCACTAATTGAGCAAAAAATTAAACTGATCAGATGGCAATCATGATTAGATTTATTGTAATGAAAAGATCGAAACGTAATGTTGTATTTCGCCCTATATTTTGGAAACTATTTTTCAGCAGGCGGAGGCGTTGTGTTTATGTGAGTCTGTGCTGAGGCTAAACAGCATGGCTCAAACCCAGGTCAGGCTGGGCGGTCTGCTTTTGCAGCATCAATACGGGGAGATTGTGGAGAATGTCGGCACTTTCTTGGCTGCTAAAGGATCATTTCCACTCAAGGATATCGCAGATGGCACCAAACTGGGAATGAATGAGGTAGAAAGAGATGAGAATACATTAAGATACAGAGGACTATGCGTGTGGGGAGGGGGGGGGGGCGTGTTTTTGCAGTCTGAAATGCAATCAGTAATGGAATCTTCTGCCAATGAAATGATATATAATATCATTGGTTCTGCTAATTAGAGCGATGTTGGTATGCGGTAATTATTATTATAGAAGACTAAATAAATCTACCACAAGGCGTTAAGTCAGCATAGTGAAAGTGTAGCATGTATAAAGTAAAGACGTAAGTGAAAGTGAAGTGAAAGTACATGTATCTTAAAGTTTACATAGTTTTTGAAATGTTCAAGTCTACAGTACACTAGTGAGGGTATGGTTGATTTTTTTAAATACTAAGTCTGGGCATATAATCTTATCAACAGGCACATTTACTGACATTGGATATTTAGGTTTACAATGAAATTATGAAAAGTTCTGCACTTATATATTTTTCTAACGTTATTGTCTGCTTGGAGATGTTACTTTTCATAACCTTCTTTCTACTGCCTAACCCTGTAGAATTGCTATCTAAAATGGCTACTTAAGTGTGCTGAAGGTTACAAGTACAAAAGAACATGACATCACAGTAAATATCATATTGGCATTTTTGTTTCAGGTGAAGAAAGCCCTGTGTGTGTTGATCCAGCATAACATGATGGACTTTGAGAGAAATAGGCGGGGTCTACTGGAGTACACCATTCACATCAACAAGGTGCTACACATCACACGGTACCCCAGGTAAGACTGGCATTTACTAGTACTGTCAGTACCCAGGTAAGACTGGCATTTACTAGTGTACTGTCAGTACTCAGGTACATTGTAAGACTGTCCTTCAGTGTACTGTCAGTATCCAGGTAAGACTGTCCTTCAGTGTACTGTCAGTACTCAGGTAAGACTGTCCTTCAGTGTACTGTCAGTATCCAGGTAAGACTGTCCTTCAGTGTACTGTCAGTATCCAGGTAAGACTGTCCTTCAGTGTACTGTCAGTATCCAGGTAAGACTGTCCTTCAGTGTACTGTCAGTACTCAGGTAAGACTGTCCTTCAGTGTACTGTCAGTATCCAGGTAAGACTGTCCTTCAGTGTACTGTCAGTATCCAGGTAAGACTGTCCTTCAGTGTACTGTCAGTATCCAGGTAAGACTGTCCTTCAGTGTACTGTCAGTATCCAGGTAAGACTGTCCTTCAGTGTACTGTCAGTATCCAGGTAAGACTGTCCTTCTAGTGTACTGTCAGTATCCAGGTAAGACTGGCCTTCAGTGTACTGTCAGTATCCAGGTAAGACTGTCCTTCAGTGTACTGTCAGTATCCAGGTAAGACTGGCATTTAGTGTACTATCAGTATCCAGGTAAGACTGTCCTTCAGTGTACTGTCAGTATCCAGGTAAGACTGTCCTTCAGTGTACTGTCAGTACCCAGGTAAGACTGTCCTTCAGTGTACTGTCAGTATCCAGGTAAGACTGTCCTTCAGTGTACTGTCAGTATCCAGGTAAGACTGTCCTTCAGTGTACTGTCAGTATCCAGGTAAGACTGGCATTTAGTGTACTATCAGTCACCACATATATCTGACCAGAAATCACTAGCTCAAATAATAATTGTGTATTTAATAACTGTGTATATCAGTTGACAGGAACCTAAAGTTAATTAATAGTTCAAATCTCTGTGTGTAAAAGAACCCAACACACCTGTTCCAGTAAAACGAATGGTTGTAAATAAAAGAACTTAAATATTCATTACAATCAATTACCAACCTTATGGAATTATTTACAGATATACTGTTGTTTGTTTTTTCTATGGACAGATATATATACTGTGCCAAGACCCTGTATGGAGATGTAGGAGAGTTCCTTGTGGAAGAACTGCTGAGTCATGGGCAGATGATGATGAGTCAGGTTTGCAGGAGGGTGTCTGAACGCATCACACAGGCTTTGGAAGGTCAAGCCATATACATGACTGTACTTCAATTTGTATGTAAGGCCTAGGAAAAAAATGTTGTATTTCTTGTTTCCCAACTGACCCTAGAAAAAACTACCAAGTCTAGCCTTTCCTTGCAGTACTCATGAGTTGGCACTGTACTGAGTTCTTGAGTTTCGTGGAGCTTTGGCAGCCTGGGTGCCATCCTCCGTAAGTAAAGCTGGCTCCCTATTGTCGCTTAAGCGACCATGGACTACAGAGGATGGCACCCAGGCCAGAGCCTCGTTTTTTTTTAGAACAGGTAAAAATCAATCCGTGCTTGCATGTCATCCATAAAATAAAATCAGTGTGGCCTAAATCATTGTGCTTCACTTTAGTCTGATCTGAGGTCCCTTTACCCTACTTCATTTTCTCTTACTACAGAAGGCCAGTCGGTTGATGAGTTCCAGGTGAGAAAGACGTTTGTTGACCTGGTGAAGACACACTTCCTGCAGCGAGTGGCGGCTCCTCCGTCAGACAGCGGGGACAAGACAGACGCAGAGACAGAACTGCAGGTCAAGGAGAAGGAGATGTTCCTTATCCCACCTGCCATGGATGTTGGTAAGCTTTCTTGTAGAAATGAATTATACTATTAATATAATATAATAATAAAAGATAGAATTATTGCAATGGTTTTCTTTTGTGTTTTTTGTGGTAAGCTCTTGTTGAAAACTCATTATATTGCTTTTAAATCTACTTTGTCTTGCAAGGATGAACTGAACTGAACTTGCAATGTGTTGCTTGATTTTTCACTCTTTGGCAGAATTTATTATTTAGTGCCATGAACTTAAAATGAAGTTTTAGCAGATCCACTTTTACAAGTACAGAGCTGTTTTGTAAAATATTGTGTACCTGCTGATCAAGATAATTTGTCCTTTTTAGTCACGAGGTTACTTACATTTTGTACATTCAATTTTGGTAACATCATCTCAAAGTTCATTATCATAAGTAACCAGCAAGTTGGGCATTAAAAGCATGATATCCTTGCCCTTATCCTATATATTGCAAAGTAACTACTGTACAGATGTCTCCATATCTTAAAACGTTACATGCCTTCAGTAAGGATCTTACAGTCCACTTCAGGGCTTTGAATGTTTTTCTCTACTTTGCAGACTACAGTAAAGTCAACCCCAGTGTGTCCTCTAGTGGCAAAAGGAAAAGAGAAGATGGGGAAGAAGGGGACAAGGTTGCCAAGAGACCTCGCAGTACATCTCCTTTGTCGGATGAAAAGAATGAAGTATGTCATTGGATGAAATATAAAGATTGATTCATGTCATTAGATGAAAAGATTGAGGCTTGTCATTGGATGAAAAGATTGAGACATGTCATTGGATGAAAAAATTGAGGCATGTCATTGGATGAAAAGATTGATGTATTATCATTGGATAAAAAGCTGTCGAATGACAGTCTCAGTCAGTGATTTTTCATGGACAAAAATAATTATTTTAGGTAAGAAACATCATTGAAGACTTACTGTAATATTTCATTGTGTTGCTATCCCAGGATGCTCCAGACAAAGGTGTTTACTGGCACGTGAACTTCACCAGATTTCACCAGTTTTTCCGAGACCAGGCTGTCCTGTCTGCTGTCAACAGTAAGATGGACAGGGTAAGGTTCTCTCCTCAACCAGTCATTCTTTCTTCATCCACTGTAGGAAATGTAGCATTCCTGCTCTCCAAAGAAGTCACACTTGTAGGTTCAGGGCATCTTTGTTCTGAAATTAAATCTTTATGCAGGGCTTGAGTCAGCTAAGGCCTAGGAAAAAAATGTTGTGTTTGCTGTTTCAAAACGGCTAGGGTTGGTAGTTTTTTCTAGGATCGGTCGAGAAATAGGACACACAACATTTTTTCCCAAGGCCTAATAAATTGATAAAGATATTCTTGTGCACTTTATTTCAGTATGCGTGTGAAATAGTGCGGACAATGCTGCGCATCAGTGAAAAGACAACAGTACCCTTAGCGCCAACTACACAGCCCATGTCTTCTCATGAGGTTTGTATCAGGCTTGGTCTCTATCATGATTATCGTAGTGAATTCTATCACAGACCAAAATTACCTATCAGCTACATTTTATCTTACCTAGTATGATAACCTATTCATTTAATGGAAGGATACTAGGCATGGTTTGCTCCAGTAAATTCAATTTCTTCCTTTATTTGCTAAGGATGTGCACAGTGCACAAACACCCTGTCTGTACTATTGTATTACTAAGTTAACACATACTCAATGCTAGAAAATAATGTTTACTGTAGCAGCATCTACTGGTATAGCCTGGGTACCATCCCCAGTAGTATATTCGCAAACTCTATAACTGGGTCTGGACTTGCACACATATAAAACGATTGGTCATGACGTCACGTAATGAGCTAGCCCGAGCAGCGGGGCTTCATTTGATTGGCTAAGCCCCAGAGGCGACGGCCAATGTCGCGCCTGCATTATTCAAGTGATGTTTGTTGTTTTGTAAACACAGATCTTCGTGCGAGTGTTCCTTTTCTCGGCGCGTTCTTTTTTTTACCGGTAGGACGCCCAAAACATCACGAACGAAATTATTCAATGCATCTTTTTGCTCATTTTTGAGCGACGATATTCCGTCTAAATCGTCCAAAACGGACGTGATTGCGAGGTCAACATCAACCTCCGTGAGCTGAGCGGCTTGTGCGTCAGCCATGTTGATGATTTATCGCGGAAAGACTGACTACGGCTATATCATGTGCGCTGTAGCGTTCGGTTCGCCGTCGGACATGTTGATGATAAGGCGTTCGGACGTTCGAACGGACGCTAACGTCGCCGTTCGGACATCCGAACAGCCCTTACCTAATATGTACACACCCAAAAAAGGGCTTAGACGAGTAGGACCAATCAGCGCGCTCGTTCAAAATCTGAACGAATATTTAGACTCCAGACGCTACATATGTGTGCAAGTCCAGACCCAGTTATAGAGTTTGCGAATATACTACTGGGGATGGTACCCAGGCTACTACTGGTATGCTAGTGGCTATAAACATGAGCAACATTGTTGTATAGCAAAGCCACATTCTACTCGTACAATTATAATATCAATAATGATAATAGTAAATCTACTTGGAAAAGCAATATGTCTCACCTCACTTGTACCAACAAAAAAAAATACTTGCAACCCCAAGAAATAATAGGTACTACTGTACACAACCAAAAGTACATGTACATGTAGTATGATTTTAGACAAGCAGGCTACTGGCAACTTTAGCTATTGTTATGATATCTTAATATTACATGATTGTGTGGTGCATTTATTTATTTTTTTCCAGATCTTCCAAAACTTGCCTTCAGAGCTGGACTTGAGCAGATCCACTCTTGGGGAATACCTGACTCTACTAGCTGAAGACAAGGTGATTTCATTATTGTGTTGATATATGTAATGTATGTAATACGCAGCCTTATAGATGTGGTGGGATACAAAAAGGGGTGAACCGATTGGTGTATGGGAAAGTATATAAATTGGATCATTTACAATTTTACTTTTTTAACAGGTATGGACTTTTCTGATGGACGATGAAATAAATCAAAGGATGATAAAACAAGGCCATGATCATTCTACGGTATCGAAAATAAAATCAACAGTACCAGCAATTTCTATCATACACTTTGCGATTGCTTATTTAGATGTCTGCCCTTTGAGCTAGAAACCCTTACTTCACAAAAACAATGATAATCTTCAGAGCTGAACGGAACCCATAATCAGTTACTTGCACATTTTAGGTGTCTGCCAGACATCTAGATCTTATTGCATGGTCTGGCCATCTTTGTTGTAAAGCTGGAGACTGGATGTCTCAGATATGGGAGTCTCATCCCCATATTGCCATGATTGTGGTTTTCATGTGCTATACATCAAGCAGTATGAAACAGTATGAGACAGTATGTCTTTGCATAAAATGACTGGTTTTGTTGTACTTTAATCTTATGACCATAAGATGTGGGTATGATGAGCAATTTGCATCATTTACAGTCATGTGGTATCTGTGTTGCTGTAATGTTAGATATTATCTCTAAGCCATGATTGGGAAGCATGTACCGTAAAAAGAAATCATCACCTTCATCTTTGCCACTTCATAAAAACATGTTGGCCATTAGATATTATTATTCATACTAATAGGGGTTCTTCCTGGTATGAGTGGATCAAACCTACACATACATGTAGGTTTACACAGCTTGTACGTAACAAGTGGTTTGTTATGCCTTAAGGCCACACCAATTTAATTTGTTGGTTCTCGGATTTTTTCAGAAAAAATATGAAGCGACAGGGCGAAAAAAAATAAAAACAAGAAGCCATAGGTAACAATTCTCCGTGAAGTATTATATATTGCAACAAAAAGAAGTAGCCATTGGCGACAATTCTCTGTGAAGTGTGATAAATCGAACAAAGAAAAATTGTTTAAACGCGCGTCGGCTCAGTCATCTTAAGACGCAACAACCAATCAGAGATGCGAGATGCCTACACGTGACGCGGGAAGGGCGCGCGATGCCCGAAATATTTTTGCGTCAATATTCAGCGCCGTGATTCAAGAGATTAATACCCGGAAACAATTTTTTTCTTGTTTTGAACGCATTAACATGCATTTACGCTAATCTAGTATGATTCAGGGTTACTTTTTTTAAAACCTGCCATGGCCAGATTATCTAAAGATGTGTGTATTGTGTGTACAATCTATAGAAAGAGAAATGTACATCAGGTCCGATCATCCGATTTTCACGTTTCGGTTTTTTGGACTCGGTTCATGAACGTATTTTGGTTTGGCTCCTGGAATGTGCAAAAAAATGACTCCCGGGACTGTCTACAGGGAACACTCGCACATTCGTGGTGTATCAGGACAGCGCGACTGGTCGGCATTAGCGCAGTAACAGTTGCATAAACGGACGAAACCATTTCAAAGAAATGGGGATGTTTCGAAAATAAGCATTTACTCCAATATCAAAACAGCTACGGTAAAAATAAAAAGACGTGCATCATCCCGGACATAATGCAACACCACATGCGAAATTACACAGAAATGCGACGTACGGAAGAATGCGTTTTGGCTGCGAACATCTTCCAAAAAACTTGGCATCTCTTAACCATGGGCAAAAACATCTGGAACCACTTATAAAAACCACCCCGTATCTGCATGAACTTTTTTGAACCCCACTGCTATTCCAAACAACGCGTTTTTCTGGACCATTCCAATTCGCCTCGTAATTGTAGGGGTGCGTCTGCGATATTACATTGACCGCGAAAGCAGCAACGGCAAAAATACACATTCGTGCATCAACACGGGCAAAATATGAGCATTTTTCAGTTGATTCAGGACCAGAATCAATTTTTTTTCTTTTTTGCAAATCAGAAAAAAACCAAGAGGCAAATCCGAGAACCAACAAATTAAATTGGTGTGGCCTAAAGGTGGAAATTCTGGAATACTGATTAAGCAATGCAAACTAACACATTCCAATAAGATGATTAATTTAATGATTATGAATAAAATCAAGACCAGCAGATTGAAAAAAGATGCTGTTTTAGAATATAACATAATATAATCAATGTTTACAACTGTTACAGTGAGTGAGACTGTTTACAGCATCTCTCTTTGTATATGTCCCATAGGTCATGGCTATACTTTGATAGATGACACTGACTATGATGGGTTCATTTTTGTCTTCATTTCAGACTGAGATTGTGAACAAAGCAGGAGAGAGTGGAGGAGGAATGTACATCCTCAGTATCCTTTACTGTAGATCATGGATGCTCAGGTGTCTTCTGAGTACTGTAAATCACTTTATATTCATGGTAGCAAAATTTCTGAGAAAAATGGACATGCTTGCAGAACTTAACATTTGCGGTGGTGGCAGGTGCAGAAGAAAGAAAGTCGGCGAATTATCTGTTATGCAATAATGATAAATTTGTGGTACAGAAGTGAAGGCAAAAACCCGCAACAATATCAAATTAACATGAAAAAATATCATTTACAGTATACTAGAGCTTTCATTTTTACACAGCTTCAAACAAATCTAATATAAACAGGGTTTTGATGAGTCATTTTACATGAAGTATCATAGCCAGCTGCTGATTAGTATTTGCTCAACCCAAAAGCAGCAGAGGTGAATACATTGTACCTGTAGCAATGGTGAGCCTTGTCTAGTTAGGCGTAACACTGCTACAGACTTGTTAGTGATCAACCAGTTAGGCATATTGACAACATTTGGTGTAATGCACTACATACATTGGGCTGATATGAAACAGGTTTACTCACACACACCAAATCTTTTATTAATGAAAAGAAAACATGCCAACAGGTTTGGGAAGATTTAAAGAGTTAGCATTGTCCAAGTAGTATACATATTATTTATAGTAATTACACGTATGTAGAGAAGGGAAAGATATTCCCAGTGGACAACCTTAACTGAAGTGTCAGATATGCAAAAAGCACTGCAGACCCTTTGCAAGGCCAGTATTGAATCTGTTGTGCAAGAGAGGTAAGAGTATTTGTGTTTGCTGTAAGCCCATGGTCAGCTAAATCTTTTTAAGTCAAGTTGTAGGGCATCATCATGCTAGCTAGTGGACAAGACCAGAAATTAGAATAAAAAGAATTCATGTCTGTGTATTTTGAGTTGTTGCTTTTTTGAGAAATTGAGGTGCATAATAAATTTTTTAGTTAAAACAAATTTACGTAATTTGGTAAAAAATGAAATGTTATATTCATTGTAAGTATCTTGTTCCAAATACTTTGGTTGAAGAAAAGAAAATGTCAGTTGACATTTGCCATGAAACCACCTTTTTTGTTTGTGCAGATTCGGATCCAAGTGTTCACGAATATTCCGCCTGTTGCTGATGAAACGTCACTTGGAGCAGAAACAGGTTAGTACGCACGGCATCATGGGTAATGTAAGGTCTCTCTCTCTCCATAAATCGTCCCAGACAGCCTTTATGATTATTACGAACACTTGCAGTCACCCATTTTTTCTTTTTTAATATTCTTTTATGGTCCCATTACACACCCATTTCCTAAAGTACAGGTAGGTATTTGTATATGTTACATGTACACGTAGCTTCCCCAGTATGCAGTGCAGGTTAGTTGTTAAAAATGTCTACTACCTGTTACATGTGACACACTATAAACCTTTAGTGATTAAGTTCCTATCAGAGACAATATATATATTGTCTATCTGTAGATAGTAGCAAAGATAGCAAGAATATTAAGTTTTTTTTAGTATACATGTAGATGTAAAGACAGAAAGCAAGAATCATAATAAATTGCATGCTCCTAGTACAATGTTGAACTTTGAATTGCACACTATACTATATAAATTGCATCCTCATACAGACAGTAAATAAAGTGAAAGATGGAAAGGGGTCATAAATGTACTGCCCCTCAGAGAGTATTAAACGGAACAGCCTTCCTAGTTTTATTACCTGCTCCGTCCATTTACAGGAGAGGGTTCTTTGAATACAGCTTTGCAACAAAAAGATGTCAATCAAAAAGAAATAAAAGCTGAAGATAATGTATTGATTTTGAAGTAATAGACCCATGCATGAGAGGTTTCAAATTGGTAGCCACTAATTATGCATGAAGGTACAGAAGCCATTTTTTATGAATGATGTTTAAGTTATAATTTCCCTTACAATAATAGAACTCAAGCATTCCCTAAAAACAGTTAAACTTCATGCAGGCAAAAGTATTAATTTATTTAAAAGTAAAATCAAGCAAGTTGTATGAGATACATTTTTCTCAACCGGTAATACAAAATAAGAATAGAATTGACCCTGTTACAGTAAAAGATGATGTACAACAGTGTTCTACATTTTATAGCTTTGATCCTTCATTTCAAGTCATTTTGGCAGATATATGTAACCTGACCTAATTAGGTATTGACCGGGCCTATAAGTTGTTGCACCTGAGGTCCCTGCATGTCAGCTGTAACAGGTGCGTTATAGCGTCAACTGCATGGGTATCATCATCATAATTTACGCAGTATATTGCAAGCCAGATGCAACGGCATAAGATACAAATTTTGCTGGATTGAACCAAATTAGAACACATTGTGAGTACATTACTCAGTCGTATCCAGTATTTGATTATACTGAAGGAATGAAAGATGCAAAATTAGACAGCAGTTATAAAATCACAGAGCTACTGCAATATGCTGTGATATATACTTGTAGGAAACAAATTTGTAGTAAGTCAAGTTTCTAGGATTAATTCTTTGCAATCCTGACTCGATTTACCGTATTATGCATTCCTGCCAAGTATACATACGTCATGTAGCAATCAAGATGAGGTCCACATTACAGTTGATGACATGATGTTCATACAACATTACCCAATAATTAATACAAAATTTAATGTAACTATACACTAGCAATTTGTGAAAGTAGGTAGACTTGAAGTAATCTACATGTACATTTGTAAATAGGAAGTGATTTGTCAATAGCATTAACTTAAGTTTCGATTCACCTTACTTGACCTGTGTGACCTCAATGCTGAACCTTAAAAGAGACAGATTGAAAACACTTTCTTGATTCAAATTCGTCGGTTTCGCTGATATGTCAAGGGAAACAACAATTCCTGACTAGTTATGTTTATATTGTACCTTCACAGAATGAAAACATACTTGTTTTTGCTCAGTTTCTTCCTCTTCTTCTTCTCCAAACAAATAAAAGTCAATGACCTGGACCAGATGTCTCTTACCATGGTAACTGGTGCTGTAGCAGACACCATGTGGTGTTAAGTTACATTTTGTACCAGGACAGAGCTGGAGGGGCTGCTCACAATGTACTCTATATTATGAATGTGTTTGAGTAGTACACAGAGCAGTAGTTTGGTAAGCTAGAACATGTGAAGGTAAACATTATGCATTTGTTTGCTTTCGCAAATGTTACCTTTCTAGTACTTAAATTTGCTGTGGAGGAAATGAAGACCATCCTAAACATTTCACGTTTCACATTATATGGCAGAGGAACACTTGAATGATTCATTACTGAGTATATGACCTTAATCTACAATCTGGGTGGCAGCTGAAAGAAGTTGATCCATGTAGTCAACAAGATTAATGTCAGGATTTAGGTTATCAGTACATCATTAGTCTCATACAGTTGATGGATCTCCTATACTTACTTACTAGGTTACAAAGTGATGCTTCACTTTTGTTTGGCCCATATTATATATTATATCATGTTCAGCTACCAGTATTGATTTTGAGATAAAAGACAAGGTTTCGTGATGTGAGAACTTGGGACCTGGATGGAGACCATTCAAGTGACCAAAATAAGTTTATAAACTGGTGGACGTACCAACCACTAAGTATCTAATACCAGCCCAGAAAAGAATAAGAAACAGTCATGCCTTCAAATATCAGAGTTATCAACCAAGAATTGAGGTGTTCAAAAACTCGTACATTGTACTTTCCAAGAACTATCGTAGCGTGGAACTCGTTGCCACCAAGCACAGTTGGAGCATCATCACTAGAAGGCTTCAAACATCTCCTGCCAATAAATGTGCAAAGATTGGGTGTAACAGGTTGTTCGGTGTATAATATAGCTAGCTGCCGCCGCGCCGCATGCCTGCGAAGCTGGTGTGTTATGCCAAAGGGCGGCTAAACTGAGGCAGATATAAATTGATTTTGATTCATGATGACTTGACAAATTACCCTTCACTGAAATTCATTGGAACTAATGAAATTTTTAGTTGCTCAAGGGTTACTCAATCGTTTGTCACCTCAGTGGAGTCAGTGGAAAGGGGTTATAGATTAATACCTTGGTTGTCACCTTGGTTGTCCATCATTGTCAATGAAGACTTCTAAGATTGGTAATAAGGTAACATGAAACAGTAATAATACTGTATTGTTGTCCATGTATCCTTTCAGAGAAAGAAGCACTTTTATGACTGGATTACTGTTGAGCAGGCACGAGTTTCTAGAGTCGCTGTAATACCGTGAGCTTGACCTGTACATATATAAGGCCATGTTGATTTGATTATATGGATGACATCCGCGCGCGCATGAATTTTCGGCCGTTTCCAAAAAAAAAAACGTTTTCAATCATACTGTAAATCATACAAAACAGTTGCAAAATGAGCAAAAATATACCATAAGTTACAAAAAAAATAAATAAAAATCATACCAATGTCATAGAATGCCAAAATCAAACGAAAAAAGACGAAATTGTAAAGAAATGAACTTGAAGACTAGATTATTCGCCAAACCATATTCTGTCCCATTTGTTCAACCCTCATGACCACGTAGATTTCATAATGAAAACAACTTTTTTTTTTGGCAAAACTTTTTTTTATTCGCACGCGCGCATCAATTTTGGGGTTCCTGGAGGATGTCATCCATATAATCAAATCAACATGGCCTAATGTGGAACAGACAGACTGGCTTTCACAAAGGATCTGGTAGATAGGTTATTTAAAGTAAGGGTCCTAATGCCAGTAGTCTGCTGCAGTCTTATCGTACACTGGCACATGCTTCAAAATATGCTGTTTTTGGAGAGTAGAGCACAGCCTGGCTCTTTATGGTGGTCAAGGTGTAGATTCTGAAGTTGTAACTACTGTGAACTAGAATTCATGCAAGTCGATATGGACATGTACAAAATGTACAACACTGTCATGTACTATCATGTGAAATGTCCAAGGCAGATACAAAATTATATCAAGAGAGTAGAGCTAGGCTTAGTCTGTGTTATGCAAACATTCACTGAATGGGCCATAAACTACCATTTCTACAGAGTTTGTGGACATAAACGTCTTATGAGAACCGGTTTTAAAAACATGAAAGTCTATCAGTTGCAACTAGATGGGAGTCACTGTGAATTTGTGACTGTTGCTTGTCATATCATCAAGCCTAGTGTCTAGTTGACTCACTCAGTGGAAGAGCTGAAAGTTGTGCAATTTTATCAGTCTAGGCAAGGCTCAAGTCTGTAGGCACTGTGGTAACTTCAGGTCATTTGCTTGAAAAATGAAGAAATTGAATCCAATTGACGAAATCTCAGGAGAGGAAACATGACAGAAAACAATATATTTCATCCATACCATACGTACGGAGTGAAATATAGCTATGCACCATTGCAAGTCTGCATGATGTACCAGAAAGGCAGTCTCACACAAGCCACAGATACTACATGACGTTTTAATACATGATGTTTGATTCTACATATTTTGGTTCCTCATTAAGTTACTGACACCAGTAAAAGTCAAGTATAACAAGAAATTCCATGGGAGGGAAGAAAATCTTTCTCATTCAGGTCCCGGGAAAGAGTCAATCAGGTGCCATGACATGTACCGCGTCACAGTCACTATATTTGGTTCCCCACTAAGTACACTGACACCAGTAAAAGTCAAGTGTAACAAGGAATTCCCCAGTGGGAAATAACAAAATCAGCCCTTTTCATTAAACTTCCAGGAAAGAGTCAATCAGGTGCCAGTCGTGACGGTTTCACACACGCTATATTTGGTTCCGCAGTTAGTCAACCCGACACCGGTAAAAGTCAAGTGTGACAAAAAAAATTCCCTCATATCAGTCCTTTTCATTCAGATTCCAGGAAGAAGTCAGTGAGGTGCCGTGCGTGATGTTCCTAGCTGTCTTGTGAAGATAAGGCATGGTTTCATTGATGAGCAAAGCCAACCCTTGTCCTCAAGCTGCACCTAACCTTTAGAAGTTATGTTAACGCATTTATTTTTATGACAAGTTGATCCCGAGTCCCAAAAGGTGTATCTGGCAGGATGAGATAGCCGCCTTAACATTAATTTGATGAAATATTACTGTAAATCTTGTAATATTTGGACCAAAATCATGAGATCATGACAAAGGCAAATATGAGTTATGTCTTCAACTTTTTGTTCTACAGTATTTTTTGAAAAAATTCAAACTACACTGTATATAAATAACTAGTAATGTCTGTGTTACTGAATACTTTCCACACAAATAACAGCCCTGTCCCTGAATACTTTCCACACAAATAACAGCCCTGTCCTTGGTGCTGAACACTTTCCACACAAATAACAGTCCTGTCCCTGGTGCTGAACACTTTCCACACAAATAACAGCCCTGTCCTTGGTGCTGAACACTTTCTACATAAATAACAGCCCTGTCCTTGGTGCTGAACACTTTCCACACAAATAACAGTCCTATCCCTGGTGCTGAACACTTTCCACACAAATAACAGCCCTGTCCTTGGTTCTGAACACTTTCCACACAAATAACAGTCCTATCCCTGGTGCTGAACACTTTCCACACAAATTACAGCCCTGTCCCTGGTGCTGAACACTTTCCACACAAATAACAGTCCTATCCCTCGTGCTGAACACTTTCCACACAAATAACAGCCCTGTCCCTGGTGCTGAACACTTTCCACACAAATAACAGCCCTGTCCCTGGTACTGAATTTTCCACACACATATCAGTCCTGTCCCTATTATTGCTAATTACTTTCTGCCAAAATAGTAGCCCTGTCCCTGGTACTATTTTGTACTTTCCACACAAATAAACATGCCTGTCCGTGGTGCTGAACACATATTCTGTTAAAATTTGGAGACTACATGTATATAATTTTGTCCGCCAGCTCATTTCATTTCCTTTCATGCAAAACTCCAACAACCAATAAATTAATTTGATGTGGCCTTACATCCTGCAAAGTATACTTAAGCACTAAAGTTGTAATAAATTAGCCTGTGTGGCAGCCTTTTTAGCTTTTGTCTGCTCCTCACAATTTTTTGACCGGTAGCAAATCTTGGGGCCAGTAGCAAATTTTGGGGAGTGGACGAAAGCTGAAAGGCTGACCCTCAGGCTTTTAGTAAATAGTAGGATAAAGTTTTTTTTCCAGTCTAATGTTTGTAATCTATGTTCCAGGTGGAGGATATGGCCATGATTCCAGCCAAGGAAGCCAAAGAACTGCTGTACAAGTTATTCTCAGAGAACTTTGTTACCATGCAGGTAAGGACAATGTTGGGATCTGTATCAGTATAGGCGGTATAACCGCCCTTTGGCATAACACACCAGCTTCACAGGCACGCGGCACGGCGGCAGCTGGCTACATTACACCGAACGGCCTGTTACACCCAACCTTTGTACATTTATTTGCAGGATTTGTTTAAAGCGTTCTCGTGATCATGCCCCAACTGTACATGTACTTGGTGGCAGCAAGTTCCAATCTTTGATAGTCACACTCTTTGAAAATACGATGGATGTGATCTCAGACCAGTTAAGCTTGCTGAAGAACTACTCTTCCGCTGGTTGTCACAAGAAAGGCAATGATACAGGATACGGGAAATTCTCAACTTAGCACAATGAAGAGTGGACCGTAGGTTAACATCCTTTCTTACTGAACGTGACCCTTTCTGGCGTACATGTACATGTCGGTTGAGCGACAGCAGTTCGGATTCGAACCCCCAACCTGTTGGTCCAGGGGCAAGATTACTAACCACAGTCCACTGATGTGTACTGTGCATGCAGGAGATGGTCCAGGTTTAGATTTTCATGGGGAAAATTGAGAAATTTCAAAACTACTTTTGGACAGCATTGAAAACAAGAATAGACTGTAATAGATAGAAAGATACATGTAGATAGATAGATACATACATACATATTATGTCTACCAGATAGATGGGTTAAAATCATGCTAATGGCCATTGAAACCTGAGGCTGTTGTCATGTTGATCTTTCAGATCACAGATTTGATGCGCCCTATGTTTCATGATGTCCTGTCACCAACATGTCCAGGAAACTTAGGAAATAAATAATTATTGATGTCATATAAACACACTTTGTTCCTTTGTGATTTTACAGTATGGATCTGAATTGGGAAAATTGTCAATGATTACCTTTATCAACTGAATATCGGCAGAAAAAACAGCTGGACAGCCAATACACGTCTTATATTATCTAAGTGCAATGCAATAACTATCCATCCGTCAAGAGTGGATGTCGCACAAATCCTTGTCGTGATAGATAAACCTATAATGTAATTCTCCAGGTACGGGTATTATTAAAACCTTGTTATTGGAGCTTATCCAGGATCAATACCATTGACGTCAGCAGTCTTCAGATGTGCGGCTGATTTGTTGCTAGTAGGTCTGACACAGGCCAACCCTTGTAAATATAGGCTTCCTGTAATGGGTTTTTCCATAAATAGCAAAGTGTGCTAAGTCAGGAGAGTCCCAACGACAATATAGGAGACAGGCTTGAGGGAGATCGTGAGATTGAAAAAGTCAGCATATAATGTACCGTGGTACAAGTAAGTAGATTGTCCAGTGCAGTCGTTAGTCTGTGTACTAGTCAGTCAAATGTCTAATGTCAAGTGCAAAAGACATTTTCTTCTTATGTTAACTATAGTTGTAATTCTGGCAGGTACCCTGACACCATCATCTTACAAAATAGTGAATTTAGGAACATCTACTAGTGCAGCATCAGTAGATTTGCAAAGACTGAGTGTAACAGGCTGTTCAGTGTAATACAGCCAGCTGCCGCCACCCCGCGTGCCTGCGAAGCTGGTGTATTACGCCAAAGGGTGGATATACCGGCTATACTGAGTTATGGCCACTTAAGATATCAAGGTGTTCAAGACATTGGTGAGAAGACTGTTTTTCTTGTTAATGTGACAGTTTTAGAGTAGCAGGAACAAGTCATAGAGTACATTAATCACATGGCTGATAGATTAGGCATGACGGCCAGAGGTGTAATGATCTTAGGGGGTCTTGACCTCTCTACTGGATTTTGAGGGGCAGATTTTGCTGGTAGACTAAGCTTACTTTAATGACAATCATGTAAATTTTTGTCCCTAAAAGATGATAGACTAGGCAAAATGTTTATCCGTCACAAGCAGCAAAAATTTGTCTGACGGAATGACAGATGCTGCATGTACCAATATGTGTTTAATGTTGAATATTTCTTTTCTCATACAGGAAATCCCCAAAACTCCAGACCACGCACCCTCCCGGACGTTCTACCTGTTTGGCATTAATATCCACCAGGTGAGCAGGATGCTCCTGGACAGGTGTTACAAGGTATGTACACTTCAAGAGATAACAGATAACATGGAGATCTATTGTAACAATAAATGTCTGATACAACTCAATGTTCCCCTACTTCATACACCTAAGTAGTACAGATTTTCTAATGAACTTAGACAAACCTTCCATTATGAAACATTCGTGTGAGCCATAGTTGTTAGACTTGAAAAAGGCTACTGCAACATGTTTTGTACACATCAGCAATAACCCTTTTTATCTAAAACATTAGCCTCTTTGCCTAAAATATATATATGGTACATTTAATTCCGTTATGTCTGAGTTGACATGTTAAGTACCACTGTACATGAAACAATCTTGGCAAAGTTGTACCAATAGACTGCATTGTTTCTTGCAGTACATAGATTCTTATGCAACGTGTGTGTACACACCGTGTCCAAACATTATTGCCTGTGATCATCAAGACATATTGACCTTGACTGCACGTACAGTAATAGCACACAATATTGCTGTGTCTACAAAACAGCACCGACTTCCCTATATCCAACTCATTTGGCACAACTCGAGCATGTGACAGTTTGGGGTTGGAGTATAAACGATGGCCACTTTTCTTGCTGGAAATAGTACTTGTATATGATTGCTTCCTCCCACATCCAAAGCCTAACCTTATTCTGTCTCATATCCGTGACTAAAGCTCTGACTTTCTCATGTATCAGTCGTGACAAGTGTCATCTATCAGTGATGATAATGTCATGGCCGCACCTTCCATCATACTGTGACCTGGGGTACTGACACATGTGTGCTTCCCCTTTTAAGACTGTGTATTCCAGACACTGTGGTTCAGCAGAGGTCATTCTAAATGCTGCAGCACAAACCGCTGAACTTTACCAAAGGCACAGGAACATTGGCTGATATATGCAGTGTCCGTTTTCTTTTTTTGGATCATTTTTCATATGTCATTGAAATTCTTGAGTTGGTTAAGTACACAGTCTCTTGCTGCTACATGTAGTCAAAGTTTAATGTATAATAGGTCCCTTTTGTCTTATTTTTTCCATTAATTTTTATTTATTTCATTTTATTTAGCACTGTTTATACACTGTATCTGGCATCAAAAGTATCAGTTGAGTTTTAAAAAAAAACATCTCGCTGGCACTACAGGTTCTATTTATATCAAGTTGATGAAAAATTTTGCTGGATAGAGTGCAGCTTTGCTTACAGAAGTGGCACACAACTGTCAGGTTGTCATACAGTAAGTTAGTTTGCAGTGAGTGGATCGAGGGGTCATGGGTTTGATCCCCGGGTCATGTCCTTGGGAAATGCACTTTCCTCATCCCCATAGATGTAGGTGTAGGTGTAAATGGTTGGGGAAATAAAAGATGTTGGAAGGAGAGAGATAGGAGCCTGATTCTGCCTTGTGGTACCATGCCCAAGGCAAAGTGATTTAAAAACCCTCTGCCCTTATATTTGGCGGAAAAAAGGCTACATGTCTATATGTACCGTTACCCTTTTTCCCCTTACACAGCTTGACATTTACATCGTATTTACATACAAATAGAGGATGTTGACATGTGATAAATTGGCATGAAGAAACAATAATATCAAAATTTTTGATAAACCTGGATTAATCATTCCTGTTTAGTCATTCCAATGCCATTCTGTCTTGATGGGTAGTTGTGCTATCTAGTCAGGACTGTATACCGGTAGCAGGTTAAGTAAAATACTGCTCCTCCCAGCCTTTGTCTGGAAGTAGAGTGTTTTATAGTCCCCGAAAACCCATCACCACAGACTGTCATAAAAAGGGTACTTGCTGTGTCACCGAATTCCATCCCCATAACTTTGCTCGAAGTTGAATGGTTAATTTCGAAGGAATGGATGTACCATCAGTATCCCAGACTCCCAGGCAAGGCCTAGGGAAAAAATGTTGTGTTTCCTGTTTCCCCGACTGCCCCTAGAAAAAACTGCCGACCTTCGCCTTTTTTTTCAGGTAGACCCCTGCAAGGGACATAAATGTTTCAAGCTGATCAGCCATTTCTAGCTCCCTGATATGAAACCTGAGTCAGTGATGAAATGTTGCACAATCGGTTTTCCAACATTGACATTGAATTCAAAATAGCAGTGTGCTCATGCAAGTTTTACTTTGATTAACTGTTTTTCATAAGTCAGATCAACTAGGGATTGCCGAAGTCTAATAAAAAAAAGAGGAAAAAAAAATCTCTACCTACTGACCCTAATTTTTTCAGGACTGAAACAGGAAACACAACATTTTTTTCCTAGGCCCAAGGGAGGGTTACATATATACACCTCCTAATGGTCCTATCTGGGCTTTTGTCCACAGGCAATGGGGAACCTCATCAGCCGCAGAGAGCACGAGAACACAGAGAACAGGTACGGAAAATCAATGTAGAAGGGAATGAAAAGACTCAGCCAAGTATCAAAGGCAGCTTGATTAGACCATTTGGTTTGAAGTGTGGGTACTGGGTAGTCTTTATTTACAACTCTATCTCTTAAGGGATATATGTCTACTAGTAGGTTTTCGCTCTGGCATTGAAAGACATTCAGCATTTGCTCAGAGTCTGATGTTGTACCGGGAGAAGGTTTAACATAGTACATGACATTGTACATGTTTGCACAGGAATGTTCAACTTGGGAATATTCTCGTGGCTCTATATTCACAGTCTTTACAGTGAGAGTCCACACCACCAATATGTGCTGTCTTGTATTGCATTATTACACTGCTATTCCAACATTACTGCAAAGTACACTGAAAATTCTTCATCTTCACCTTGCCTTGAAACTTTTGAATGTCCCGCAAACTGAATTGAATTTACAGTACGTCAGGGTGTAAGGTGGCGTAAAAAAAGTTATTTCAGTTCCTTACAATGTTTTTAAAGGATATCTGGGATGTAAGGATTTTTGTTAAATATATGATTGTTTGTATATTTTCAAAAATTGGAAAAAGTTGAATGCTCAGTAAATCACTTATGTTTGCAGTAGCTAAATTTTGTAGTCTGGGAAAAATGGACATGTTCACAGAATTATAATGTTTGCGATGGCAGCAGGTGCAGCAAAAATAACGTTGGCGGATTATTTGTCCACGGTAATGGTAAGTTCGCGGTACAGAAGTGACCGCAAAAACTGCGAATACAAAAGTACCATGAAACAATTGTGATTTACAGTATATACTGGAGTAGATAAGTGCTGATGCATGCAGTAATTTTTTCCCCAGGAGGCTACTAGAGAAGTCCCAGCGAGTGGACGCCATCGCTGCGTCCCTACAGAGCTCGGGCGCCGACACCACACAGATGTCTGAAGTAGAGGAGATGATCACACCTCCCGAGAGACAACAACTCAACAAGCTCAAACACGACATCAACAAGTAAGTCAAACTTAATTACTGTAAATCACGTCATGTTCACGGTAGCAAAAGGTCGCGGTTTGAGAGAAATGGCCATGTTCACGGAAATTTATGTTTGTGGTGGTAGCATGCAGGTGTAGCCAAAATAAGTTGGCAAATTATCTGTTCAAGGTAATGATAAGTTTGCAGTACAAAAAGTGACTGCAAAAACCAGAAATATAAAAGTGCCATGACAAAATTTACAGTACCTAAGAAGTTGGGTTTTTGGACAGCATATATTAGCGAAAAAAAAGCTGTGGATGGAAAAGAATGATACTCTACATACAGACTCAAAATCCTTTCATTTTCTGCCTATCCACAAAAGCACATTGAAAATTACCAGCGCCAGACAAATTTTACCTGCACCACTCAGAGTTTAGGAAGCAATTTGGATCACAATAAAACCTTCAGAAACCTTTGCCATTATTTCTTTTTTATTTCATAGTACAGCAACAGTCAATGCAGCAGTTAAAAATCATGAACATTTAAATCTAGTACATGGACCAGTGTAGGTTGCATAGGGTGCAGGCAGACATCAGAAATAAATAAAAAAAAAAAGTTCACAGCTCCAATTTTACCTGCACTAACCTGCATAATTATACATTTTGTTTTTGTTGGTTTTCAGATTAGAACAGAGTGAACTTCAACTGGATGAGACTATTTTCCTGCTAGAGAGTTACCTCCCTGGCTCAGAGGCTATGGTGATGTATTAGTTATTAACAGTCAGATTTCCAGTCAGATCTATGTAATTGCATATGCCGTCAACTGAACTACATGTGCTTTATATGAAGTAACCATCCTATGGCCACATTATTAGAAGGAAATTGCTGACAGTATAGAAGTTCAGAAACTGGCTTAACAACTGTACTAAGTAAACATTCAATACAATCATACTACTTTTGACAGCGTACTTCTTTTGTTATTGACAGTGAGAATTACAAAGTGTTACTTGTTAGTTATTAATTCATTTAAAGTGAGTCAGAGATTCTACTGTTACAGTTTTTGGTTCTTCGTGTTGTACCCTTGCAATTCTGTAATAAAATCTTTACAAAGTAGTGAGCATTTTATTCTTTTTGCTTCATGCCTTTATCTATAGCAAAACCCGGAGATCTGAGCAGGGAAAACACAAAGCTGATCAGAGAAAATGAGTCGTATAATATCTGTGTAGATTATCCAGATCTATTTTTCTTCAGCACTTAACACAGGCTAAGTAAGGTAGACTTGCTGTTGGAAACATTTTCATTCCCATTTATTAGTAGTCAGCTCATGTCTTCTCCAGGAGCTCCGATTGACAAAAATAGAATATAGCTTGAGTCCAGGTCGGCTGGTGCTTCAGTCACAGGTGTTTTGTGTGTACCAGTCCTGATGATCAGACTTACATGTAATGTCTGGGAGACATGTACATGTGCACTACTCAAGCCAAGGTTCAGTTCACAAAGTTTAGCTGGCAGATATACATGTAGGCCTGGCCCATCGGTATTTATACTGTATATAGTTTAAAAGTTTATTGCAAATACATGCCCTATGCAGGGCTAATTGCAGGTACAAACAACATGTACATGTATGAAAAAAAATACAATGATATAAGAGACTACGTCTAACATTATTCTACATTCCACTAGTTTTGTTGGGTTGCTTTCAAATTGACTTCTTTTGAGGCAGTGGAAGACAAATTTAATTTACCCACTTCTATAATGTGTGGTTTCTTTGATTATCATAGTAGTAAAATTGTTTTCTCATGGTAGGAAATAGTGGGAAAGTAAGGGTGCATTTTGGACACGATAGTAAATAATTGGTTTCTGATATAAGCGGGGTAAAAACACTGAAGAAAACTAATGCCCGTGGTCCAGCTTGTGTCGGTCTTGTGTGTGGGTGCGTAAGGGGGTTTCACGAAAAAGCAACAGCAGATTTGCCCGTTGTATCCTTGACGTGGATACTGTAAATCACTTTAATTTGTGGCACTTTTGTATCCAGGGTTTTCGTGGTCAATTGTGTACGGCGAATTAATCATTACCAAAACAATTTGCCGACTTTCTTTCTTCTGTACCTGCCGCCACTGCAAACACATAGTTCTGTGAACATGTCCATTTTTCACAGACCACGAAATTTTGCTACCGCGAATATAGTGATTTACAGGTGGATAACGTCTTCTCAGTGTTTTCCATCTTTTCCCTTGTCTTTTGACTCGTCCTGTTGGCGTGTAGGTGGGGGGGAGGGGGAGCCTCGGGACGTACGCTCCAGCGCGACCGCCAGCTCCCTTTTCAGGATGGCAGCAAATTCTGCAGACGACACCTCTGGTACAGGTGAAGCCGAGGCACCTGCTGTAACAGGTGGGAGGCCCTGTAAAGCAGCTGTCAGTGCAGGTGATTCTGCTCTAGCACCTAGGCCTTCCTCTTGTGTTGTAAGGGGAGGGGGAACACTCTGCTCCGGAGTAGTCATCTGCTCCGGAGGAATTATCTCTTCCTTAGCACCAGGGGTGTCCTGTATAGAGGCTTTACCAGTCCCAGATTCTTGCTCAGAAGCTAAATTCTCCTCTGTCACAGCTGCAGTCATTTTGGCTTCTTTGCTGGATGGTACAGGTGTATCCACCTCAGGAGAAGATGTCCTTTGATCAGTGTCTATGGTCACATCTCTTGGGGCATGCGCAGAGGCAGAATCCTGTGCCAGGAGACTCTTCAGTGCGCCTGCAAAGTTCAGAAGGTCTCGTAGGTCTACAAAGCCAAGGTCTCTCCGAAGACATTGATAAAAGAATTCTGGTGCCTAAAAGAGAAGATGGAGGCATGTTGGTGACACAGTAATGTATAGGTACAGGTACCAGAATGGGACAAGATTTCAAATGCTACAGGACTGTGTGCACTGACATACATTGAACATATATTTTTATTGTGTTCTAAATAATCATTAAATATCAATGTAACCTAGAGGCTGTTGATGTCTCAATGCATAAGAAAATAATATGAATGAAAACACGTCTATATATTTTACAATTAGTACATCTCCTTATTTTGTAACATCTTATTAGTTAATTAAAAACATATGCAGGAAGCAGACTAAAAATTTGACCAAAATGAACCAACTTACAGTTCCTCAGAAAATCAATTCCACAGACTGTTTCAGTATCTGTCTGTCTTACATTTTATATGATGTACAAGTATGTCTGGGGACAGAAGCAACCATTAGTATGCAAGGGCCTACCTCAGCTCGAAGGGAGTGGAGCTGGTACAAGAACTTGCCATCTACGGCCTGCAACAAGGGGGCATCACTGCAAAATGGACAGGAACAATTATTAGCAACTTACAACAACAAAACAAACACTCAGCTATATTGAGCTTGTTGAGGTAATTTTTGCGTGTCTCCGTGTATGTTTCTGTGCATGTTTCAAAATATTTTGACCTGGCTCAGCATACATGTAGTTCAAGAAGCTGTAGATGGATTGTGATCCTGATATTTGGTATGTGGGTAGGACTTGGAAAGACAAAGGTCAAGGTTAATTTTGTGCCTCCTCGTAGTTTTCCTTGAGAAGAACACTCAGTCTGGAGGTAGAATAGGATGGAAACCAGGCCAACTACCCAGAACAAATTTTAAATGTATTTACATGATCATTGTACACTTACCATGGTATATTGAGACTCAGTAGCCATGCCTGCACGTCATAACTGCTCCACTGTCTGACCGTGCTCTCTCCCATCCTGGTCGAGTGTGTTTGCTGCTTCAGATGACTCGAACAGATAGCGCTGAAGGACACTTATTATTCTAAGACTCGAGAAGTCTTCTAAAACATGAACACATGCTGATGTACTAGATGTACACTTATGGGCAACAGTGTGTCGGCCGTGTACAGTCTGCAGTAGTATTGCACAGTTGTTCTAACAGTTTACCCCCATGCAGACAGGCATTGACTAAAACAGCTCATGTTTCTTCCCAGCCGGTTGCAGCCTGCTATAAATAGTCGACTCTCCTCACATGGGGACAGACCCTGAGGCCACACACGGGATGTGTTACCAGGAAATATGGCCAATATGTGGACCTCTGTAGCTTTAAATTCGAAAGAGAATTTATTAAAAATAATTTCATTCTCTAGCCCTTACCCGTATACACACAAATCACACTATATACACACTATAGGTCTCTTCTGATTCAACATTTTTTTTTCTAATGTGGACCAGGTGGTCTAATTCTAATTAGGGCACCTGGTAGAGTTAAGAGAGATGAGACTTGTACGACCCTGTTCACACTAAAAAAAACCAATCTGGATTGAGCTTCGATTTGGATAAAAATTCATTAATCAGGATCATTTTTTGAGTGTGAATGATCCCAATTGGTTCAATTTTCTCCAATCCAATTTAAAAGTAGTCCATTTTCAGGAGGTAAGTTCAAGACGTTTGTGGCGGATCCAGATTGGACATAACCGCAAGTGTGTCAACGCAAAGTGTCTTGGCTTGAACCGACTTGCTTCGCTTGTGTGACACGATGTGCCACAAATATCACAACCGATCCGGTCTAATATGCAGTATACATTTTAAAGACAAGAATCAATCCGGATCATTTTTTTTGTGTGAACGGGGTCCAGTACTGTAGTCTTAGAGGTGTCAGACTGGTATTCTGCCCAACAGGTCAAGACAAATTTCTATTATATTATTATTATTGTATAGAGATGGTGTCAGCATAAAGTCTGAGGGAAAGCACAAACATTTTATGGAGTCAGACAATCCTTTATTGCAACATACCTGAACAGCTGATACAGGTATCTCCAAAATCATCACAGTGTACTGTAAAAACTCCAATACACATGCAATGCGTGATCATACTTCCATAACTTTTTCACTTTTTTAATGGATCAACTTCAAGTTGATGCATCTGAATCATTTGGTACTATTTCATGCCAGAAACTGCTGCCAATAAAAGAATACACTTTCTGCTGAGTGACTGTGTTCACAGTGTGTGTCGGCTTTAGGCAGGAAATTGTAGAAAACTACCATCAACGGAACAAAAGCGAAGACGGGCACAAGAAGACATCCTGGGGGAAAGATGTCACAGTTGAGATACCTGAAGGATGGGTACTTTGGAGCGAAGTGACAGTTCCAATACCTCATGCATTGGGGCTTGATTTGTTCTGGAGCGGGTCAGAGCCTCCCACTGCCTATTGCAACTCAAGTCTGCACCTGTGACAGTGTGGAGAGCTTCAATTTAGAACTGGATTGAGTTCTAATCAGTTTTGCTATAAAGGACGTTTTCAAAAAAACTACATTAAAAAATGGGGGTTATAGACCGTAACAGCTGGATAAATTTTTTGTTTCTTTTAAACATGTTTTCTAAATTTAATTTTTACCTGTACGGAGTGAGAGTTCTGTAGCTGTTGTACATTGTACTTTGAATATTACTAGTATCTTTAGAAAAATCATGATGTTTCACCTGCTGCAGTGTTATATAATCTAACCTTAGCAATCTACAGGTGGCCTCGCATGTTTGAATCTGTACACTACATGTTAATTAACTTGACATGCAGAATGTGTTGAAAAGTATTGGAAACAACTTGGGTCAAAGAAACATGTTGATATCCCCAGTCTATCTACCTATCTGTTTCTCATAACAAAATGTGTTCTATATTGCTTGTTGATGCAGTTATTTATGATTCTTGACAGTAAATCAAGGTAGGAGTCATCAATCAGTTATGCTTGATTCTGTATCATTTGCATACTTGGGATGACTTACATAAACTCTGATAAACAGCACAGTTCAAAAAGCCAGGAGAATGATGGATGGTGTACTGAAAGGGACCAATAAGGAAGGAACATCTGGAACTCAGGTGAACAATATAGGTCAGAGGTTAAGAGTTGATCCAATTACTCCACTCTGGGTGATTATTGGGTATCTGGGATGAGGTCTGTCAAGCACATCCAATTGCAGAGCTTTGCCTAGACGGAGGAATATTATCAGTTAAAGTGGGATATTGCAGTGGGATGTTTTAATCATTATGATTGGGGATGGGAGATGACTTTAAATGTGTAACTTCAGGGTTCAAAATTTGCACACGAGTTATTGCCCAGCGCACAAGCTATCTTTTCTTTTTATTAGTTGCATGCAAAGCGACCTTTTTATTCAAGCTTACAGCAGTCCAGCTTTACATGTATATGGCTTCTGAATTGCACTGTGTCCCAGCCAGCATGTGAGAGATACATTTTACAATGTAACAGGTGGCTTGCCTTCTAAAATAACCTCGGCTGACAACCTGAAATCATGGGCAACCTAGATTTTGGCTTACATGTACAATGTACATGTAGGTTGCCCACCTGGCAACCTGAGAAACCCAAACCCTGAACATACAATGTACACTACAGTGTAGTTCACCTGTAGCTTAAGCAGCAATCTTTTTAAGAACATGATTGTACTGTAAATTTTTCATGGTGACTTTATTTTCACAATGTCTTCTTTACCACAACATCACGACACCATGAATATTATGCATTTCCACTGATGTATTTCTACATAATTTTATACTACATACAAATTATTATCATATTGAATTAAACATATTATTAGACTGCTTTGAACTGTGAAGTTAAAATACCATGAAAACTCTCTCTCCCCTACTTTGAAGTCCACATGAAAATATTTTACTGAGTTTACAGTGCCTTATTAATCAGTGCACTGTCAGGATACTGAAATACAGTAAATCAATATTTCTTCCACCTTTGCAATATTTCTTCATCTGAAAACTCATTTTTAGGGACATAAATATGTACTGCAGTGGGAAGCTGTCTCAACTTAATTCTACATGTTCTCCCAGGAAGTGCTAGTTGTGTACCATGCATGCAGACTTAGTTATTATTACATGTACAATGTACATGTATGTCATGTACATCACCAGTCCTGTTATTAATGGATCCCCTGTGTAAAATAAAACTGTCATCAAGCTATTCATATACAAATGTAGAATCATCAAAATGAATACACTTGTTATCATTAGGGGGCCTAACCTACATTGTACCCAATAATTCTTCATGTGGCCAGAGCATGTCCAGAAATTCTGAATCAAAAGGAAAGCTGCTCGGGGCAACATTCATATTGTTTCATTCTTACCTGGTCAAGATCTGATGTACTCACCTGCCGAATTCCATGAAAATTCATCCATGAAAATTAAACCATGTTAAAATATACAAATGCTACCAAAAACATTTCCCTTCTAGGTTGTAGGTAACAATGAATTCCTCTCCAAATCCTTTTGACAATGTCTTGTTGAATTTTGTACCATGAGACTCGCACAGTACTAGCTTCTTCCTTTACATACATGTAGCGTTACATGTGTTTTGTGTTTCTTTTGAACAACCCTGGGAATACCTTCAACATGTAAACCCTTCCATTTAGTATTTAACCTCACGTGACATCATGGAATCCCTGCAATATAGTACTGGCAGGTAGGGGGCTCTGAGTCACGTCTAGCCAGTTTCACAGCTGATTTATGACCTGACCTTTTGGATACCTTGTTGTGAAGGTCAAATCCTAAATGTGTTAATAATTGATGTTGGGGTCTGTTAAACGCATACATCAATAAAGCTTATCATTCAACAGTTTTTCTGAATAAGGGTATAATATAAATACAAAATGAGTCTACAAATACTACATGTACATTTAGTATTCACCAATGGAAAATGATGAATTAGAAATTCTCCAAAGGTTTTCTTTAATGAAAAAAATGCAGCAAATATGTCGATCAGTTTGGAAATATTGATGCAAATCTTTGATGACATGGCTAAGGTTTTTTCACCATTGATATAATTATGCCAAATACATTATAATAATTGCATATTACATGTTGACATTGAAAAAAATAGTAAAATGCAGTGATTTAATCATTTGTGGCTGATGCCATTTTAATGGCAATTTATAATCATATACGTGTAAGTGTAATGATATGATGGCAAACTGATTGTGCAATTTGATACATGCCATGTCATGATTGAGTAGTAATAGGATTGAACGACACCTGAAATCAAATCAGTCCAAACTGGGTTGGTCTGTTTTACATAATCTAACCCTCCCAGCTAGTCAGAATGGTACAGAGTGTAATCACCCAGCACTGATCATGACAGGCCCAAGGACAGTTAGGGTTGAAGGCATGCTATTTTTTTGGGGGGGAGGGGTCAGGGGGCAAAACCCAAAATATTCTTGATGATAAAGTCTGTCAGATATTCCCATTTCTGATAGAAGATTTTCCTCATCATTTCATATACTTCAGGCAATACAATAACATTACCCCAAAACAAGCTACATATTGTACACGCACGTTTTTATGGTACCAGCCATACATTTGTACATTGCTTTTACGCATGCAATGTACCAACCCATGAAGCCATTCTAGAAGCAACTTTATAATTGATGACATTGGCTATAGTATTACTGTGTTTTCAAAGGATTTTTATTGAAAGATTTAACGAAAGAAAAGTTCAAAATCCAACAACCTTCTTTTCAACATCTACATTGTGTACATGCATGATACATACTCTGGCCAAATTTAAATGGGCATGGTCATGCAAGATTTTGTCACTTTGATAAAAATCAACATAAATGTACAATGTACATTTATAATGGTACAAAGCAAAAATAATCTTGATACAATTATTATGATGGTTGATATCTTATATGGCTGCGATGAAAACAAAACATTACATAAAGTTATACATCATCATCATGCATACAATATAACTATCACAATTTGACAGGAACTACAGTAATAACCCTACATGTACACATGAAGATTTACACTATTTTCACAATTCCATTAACAAAATTGTCATACATTCGCTATTATAAATTATAATAGATCTTCTACATTCCGCTTTGTCTTTTTCCAAACATCTGGACCTGAGTGAGGGTGATAACACCGAGCCCGCGTACAGCCAGGTTCAATCTCGTCCTACGCGTTCCACAGACGGTCGTGACTCTGTGACTGTGACGAAGGTAATAAACCCAGACCATACATCACCTGACACTTTGTAAAACCCAATTATTGCACTTCCCGTAATATTGATTCCCGCTGCAGTTGAACTTGAAGAAGTTGAGGAAAACTAGCGTGGAATGGGGTATATATTACACAGGTCAATAGCCACAGGCAAGCAAACTTCGCTTCAGTCTGTACTATAGATTTTTCTTGTGTGTCCTCATTTCACATCCCGACCGCAGACAGCCTCAATCAATATGCTTTTTACAATCGTGTACTGATATGAACTGAACATCCCACACTTTCTGATATTCTAGTACTAGTAACTGTCAACCTACTCATTTTATATAAAATCAAACCCGTTGAGACTAATAGCCACCAGTAGTTTAAGTGGCAGTATGTTTATGCAACAGTCTGGGGAAACAGACTTGCCATGTAAAATCCCTTTATCTATTATGTTACCAAGTCAGTGTGGTAACAACAGATGACTACGGTGTATTGAGATCTCTCTAATATATATATGTGTGTGCGTAAATTGGAAAAAAATTGCTTGTTCAGGTCAGAACATATTGAATTCATTTCCTTCCAGTTCAATTGGGTATTTCAAAGTGAAAATTTAGCAAAAGGGTGTGATAAAAACTTGAAGAGAGGCAAACTTGGATCTGATTTTATTCACTCCCCAAAACGGAATGTACCAACTTGGGCACAAATCTGGCCCTCGGGATCTGTTTTTCCACTTCAGCATATTTAATATCTAAAAATCAAACATTAGATATGTGTGCCCTTAGTACAGCCAATACTGTAAATCATTAATATTCATCGCAGTTTTCACAGTAACTTCTGTACCAGGAACTTATCATTTTCCTTGAACAAATAATTCTTCAACTTAAGTTTCTTTTCTTGCACCTGATGCCACTGCGAATGCATAGTTCTGTGAACATGTCCATTTTTCTTGGACCGCGAACTTTTGGTGCCGCGAACATAAAGTGATTTACCATAACTAAGTATGCAAATGATGCATAATGCCAAATTACTACAGTGTAACTGCAGACATAATGTTTGTCATTGAACCTCTGCATACATGACCTTTCACCCATTAGTATAATATAGATCAGACAATTGTGTGTGGCTGAGATTTCTGATTGGCCACAAGAGTCAAGGTCAATCAAAAGTCCCAGTTACACTCAACTGTAATGACAGACATACTGAGTACTATACAATGTCCAATCATATGTGTGTTCCTTGGTAACTTGATTATAACCATCCCTGGAGTCTCTAATCATACATGTACATGTATGCTAGTAGTAATTGCTACACAAGGCCCAAGCAACTACATGTACATTTGTACATGTTCATGCCAACTGCCCAAAGCATTTTCTAGAAACCAATAAGCACAGTCATATTTCTATTGGATAAACTAAACTTAGGTTTATAACTTAATAACTGGTGATGCGCGTATGACCCTGTATGTATAAATATTAAAACTACAGACTGAGCTATAATACACAATGTACCAAATACATGGTAAATTCAACAAATTTCAGAATAATACAAAATGTATATATATGTCTGCTGGATGAATAATAAAAATTCATTCAATTCATGATCAGGTTTCAAACGTGTAATTTTCTCCCATATCCTGATATGCAATGAAACACCCATATTGATAATGATGTTAAAAATGACACAGTTTGTCATATATGATTTCTTGATCTAATGACTAAATGTGAAATTCTTGAATGACCTCTAGGCTGACCAACTGCACTCTTTGTTTTCCTTCCAACTAGGCTCTCCTTCTTCATAAAGTTCCTGTGACAAAACAAAAACATTGAGTAATGACAGGCCTAATCTGACAAAAACATGCCTGCAGTTCCATAAAAATCTGCTAGTAGGCCCTTGATCCAACTGTCCTTTGTTGATTGTTTTAGTAACTTTTACCTTCCAAATTTTATTATGCTGTTAAACCACAAATTGAACTGCAACTAGAAAGGCAACATTTAAAAAGAAAATGCATAATGTTTATTATCATACCTTGTTCGCATATGGTCTGCTTTATATCTGTTAATTCTTACTCAAACACATTCATGTACGTACATACTATATGGTCAGACAGGAGTCTAAATCCCTCCTGCTATAAAAATTGCAACATGGCGTAACCCAACACTAGTTACCATGGTAACAGACAGTCTGGTTCAGGTCATTGACTTTTTTGGTTTCGAGAGGAGGAGGAAGAGGAAACAGAGCAAAAACAATATGTTTTCCTTCGGTAAACTATCACTTCTTGGCAAAGGTAAAATGATTGTCTGCCACACCGTAGTTCAATGTGTACCAAATGTACCTGCTTCCTTCATCATGGCACAGTGATAATGCTTTGCTCTGGAAAATAAATGGCATTGGGGATAGTGGAAAGGCCTCTCTTGATAACAAAAATAAGCTATCACTGGGGAAAGTGGGAATTTGTAGTTGCTGCTTCGTATGTACCTGTACATCCATCCATGCTACCTCTGTGATAATTCTAGGCCCACCTGTGCCTCTCCATGGTCTCTAAAGCTATTAATTTTTCTGAAACAAGACAGCTCTGAGGTCTACGCAGAGACTGGCAATAAGGAACTAAACAAATTGTTCTGCATTGAATATTCCCGCAGTCTGGCCTTAGGGAGCTTATTTTTGACTAGTTTCGGGAAGACTGGCAAAGAGGAGCAAAATCTGAACAGATTGAAATGTTGCTGAATGTTTAGGGGGAAAGAGGTCACACATTGGCATGCTACTCGTGTGCACATTGTGACTTCCAGGACCTTGGCCTTACATACACATCAGAACATTGAACCGTAAATCGAGTGCCTGCTGCCAAAATGAACAAACGGCTAACTACAACACATTGTTAAAAATGATACAGTCATGGCCTGCCTTTCACGTAACCTGCAGCTAACACAAAACTCCCCAGGTGTTTCATGCCCACTGCTGTTTGAACCTGATAAAAGTCATTTTGTTACCGGTGACAACAACGGTGACTGCTACAGTGTATTTCACAAAAAGCATTCTAAACGCTTTCTCAGAAGATTTATAGCCCGTGAAGGGAGTTAACATTCAGCTATCAATTTACGTTTTCCGCAGTCCTACTTGGCACTGACTTCTGGGAACGCCACATTCCCGGGTACATTTTCGAGGGGTACGTTCTGACCTGCTACACCTGGAAATGTTGTAGTGTGGGAGTATACGGGTACTAGCCGTCCAATCATGGAGAGTTATTTGCAGGTCGTGCACAGTTTTATTCTGGGAACATTTGTACGCCGTCTGAAACAAAGTACCAAGGTCAAGGTGGAGTAAAATCTCATCTGTGCGGCACACGACCCCCAGGGGAAAGGTGACCGACCCTGAATTAGGCTGGTATTGATCTTCAAGGTGAATCTCCGAGGTTGAACTGAGGGCATACATGTGTAGCTTAGGGGTACTTAGTAAGGACACATGCACACAGCCAGGATTTTGCTTGAGGGGTTCTTCTGACTATCTGAGGGACCAGTGAGCGCTGCAGGCAAGAGCTTCAAAGTGGATCCAGGGGCATGTCCCCTGGAAAATTTTGAAAATTAAAACTTCCAAAAATGGCATTTCCTGTGTTTTAATTTCGAGAGTATGTCACGGAAACACTCAGTGACACATAACTGTTCCAGGCAGCATTTTATCGGAAGAACAGGAACGATTGAGTAGCATCGGATGATATTCATTATAAAATTGGCCTCCACAATAATGGTATTAGGACAGAAATCGTCAGAACCTTTAGATTTTACATGTATCTCAACCATCCTATCCACAAGGTTCGTGACTCTATCTAATCCATCCTTCACACGTATCTACTGGAGACACGTCTGTCCCTCTTACCTTCTTCCATATCGGGACGGTTGCTTTTAACGTGTCGATGGCGTATCTGACGGCCTCCAGACCTTCTCTGCGATGCGGAGAGGAGATCGCGATGATCACACTCGACTCTGTTATTGGTACACACCTGTTCAGCAAGAGGCAAGATTTCATTTTGTAGCAGAAAAATTAATACAAAATAGAGCCATACCAATTAAATTTGTTGGTTTTCAGATTCGCCTCTTTCTGAATCAACTCAAATATGCTCATATTTTGCCCCCAACAGTTGAGGAAGATCCTTTTCTTCCTAGTTGTTACAGTTTTTCCATCGACGCAGTTGTTTGATTAAAAGTCAAAATTCATTGTTTAAATATTAACCCAACCTTTTGTGTTGACGTCATGGCTCCTATCATAGCTTACAGTTTTTCATGACATTGTTAATTCAACAAAACTACTAAGTATCATGCATACCCCTAGCAAATTTGAAACTTTTTCTCAAGACTAAAACTGTCTTAACTAAAACAATAGAATTTGGATCATTTAAAAAAAATCATTTACTTGTCAATCCTTACAAATTAATGCACAATCCTAACCGTAAACTTAAACTATAATGGGAAAGAGTAATAAGTATTATGAACATGTCATCTTTTCTAAAAAAAAAAGGAAAAGCAAATTTAGTACCCCTGAACCATCTAGTGTCCAAAATGAGTATTACTAAACCGGTAGTATCATTAGTTTTTTTTCTAACTTAGCTACTGAAGTACACAAAGAACTAATATACTTTTTGCAAAACAAATTACTCAATGAAAGAATGACAGGTAACAATTTTGTTGTTAACCTAATACTAATAGCATCCATGCATGTGCACACACTTAATTCAACACACTACATGTATGAATTTTAAACCCATTCAAGACAATTTTGGTTATGATTATTAATGTGTAAGAATATACAAGGACAAGACCAAACATATTCAGTTTACATTTTGTACACTCTGTATTTTATATAGTGGTTGTTTCAACCCAAATTTACAAAAAAAACACCTTAAACTCTTGAGATTTACCTTGCTGCACTATCTAACTGCGGCAAACTTAAAAAAATATGAATCTGTACAACAAAAAGTACAGGGACATTTGTATGGTCTACAACACAACTAAGATCGAACAAAGCTAAACACATGAAAATGTATAATCAAAAAAGTCATCCTACTTTCAGGATATATGTATGTGGCAAACTATGTACAAATTTATGTCATTAGAGCTTTAAAATGCAGTCTCTTAGATTTAAACTTTCATGTGTTTCGGAATTCCCTAAATGAGTTTCCAGTATTCATAGGATGTGATTGAGAAGCACAAGCCGGTAAAGTAATGCCATCAGACTGAACCGTCTGACTGACTGGAGTTCATGTAGACAACCTCGTGTGGCTAAACCCTCGACTCCTCATCATTACACAAATCTAATGAGGCCGACTCCAACCCAGAAACTTTTTCCTTCTGTGTATTTAGGTTAACGTTCCAATTCAATTTTGCGGCGAGTGCTGACGTCACGTCGTCAACTTGAAATCAGATCAGCGAGGTGTGGTGCCGATAGTTGACCCAATACGGCTCCCCCGGCGAAATCAATCTTTTGTGGTCTGTTCCGCAGATTCCATTACAATCAATCAGGGTCGGCACTAACCGGGAAGGGGGAGACAGACGGTGGTCCTCCCTGGGACGGTACGGAATCAAATTACCGGGGACAGTGATGGCATCATCTCCGAAAACTGCTTTACATCCAGTCGACGGTAATCTACATCCCCTCCCACTTAATGAGAATATCTAAAAGTAGAGTGTATTCCTACTCGTGTTGTATTTCCCTCGATGCACACATTTATGTATGCATGCAGGAAACAGACAACTTTGTACATGATACAAAGTGAATTCTGCTATTCCATTGGCAAAAATGGGATAAAGGAAAACAGAGGTGACCAGCAGAGGCTCAGAACACAGTTGTGCAGATTTGGCCTCTAAATCATGGTTGTGTGAAACAGCAGTTTCTCTCCACTCTTCATCCAATGCATGGCATTAACAAGAAGTCAAATAGTTTAGTGAATTTCATGACAGTTTTATTCAATATTGTGAATTTCTTAATGATTCTCTCTGATATAATCTTGATGGCTTCCATAAGGCAATAGGCACAAATATAGAAAATTAAAGAGAGGAAATGTGATAACCTTTTCTGGGAGCTTTGAGCTATCTTCCTGTCAGTGTCCCTGGCGTGCCTAGCATGTACAATGTAGAAAACTCATTCAAGCTAACACCAAACAGAAAACCTCGATCTGTACACAAAATAAGGTAATCAACGAAAAAGTGGTAGACTTGTACATGTACTGGGTATTACACCAATATTGATCAATACAGATCAATCCATTGGACTGAAACCACTGTTAAATTAGTTGAGGATATACTTGCCTACTTGTTGTCTTAAAGCTATATTATGTAGAATTTTGACTATTTTAGAAATCTTTCTTTTACACATTTTCTTGCTCTTTACACCTACCTGACTTCATGATGACATTTGGGGATTAACATATCAACGTCGTTTCGCCGCAAATACGCGTCGGAAAACTGCGCACTCCGCGGCGCTAGCGCGGATCGCGGCCATGTTTGTTTACATCCGACCGCGTCCGAGCATTCCCGAATCCAGCCGAACCGCAGGTCACCGTAGAGCACATTATTCTCTAAAATACGGCATATGGCCGGTCACGATTTGACAACTGTCAATAGTGCAACAAAAACACCTTAGACATACGTAACGTTTATACTTTTTCATATCTACAGGACTTGCCTAGTACAACAATGTAGATATTTCGTGCATTACAAAATGACACCGATCGTTATGGCCTTCCAAACATTAGCATTTTTGGTCAGTTTATTTGTGCTTATCTTTTTTTACTGGCCAACTGGATCCCATTAGTTAATACCACAGTGTGATAGCCCACATCTTCACCTTTACATCGATACCAAATTCCCCTGTTTAGTTTTAGGTCAAACGGGTTTGCCCCAAAGAAAACCGCGACGGTGCACACATCGCGGTGACGAAATTTTAGCCCAGTTGTAGCTACCGGCGCACACCATTCTGAGTTTCCGCAACATTTTGATACATTTAGCGTAATGTCATAAACTTCGTTCCTTGGTATGAGAAACTATATGAATGTGGTTACCACATGGAATATTATAAGTGACATGATAACTTTCAAGTATATACAAAAAGAGGATTTTAGATTAGGTACTGACCGTTCAAAAATTGGCAAATTTGAAGTCAATCGGCTTCGAACTCCAGCGTTCGAAAGCGTTCGAACCATGGAACCCAGACACGCGCCGGAAGTTGCCGAAGATTTCCGAACGAAAACCGTTGTTTGTTTACATTCTATTTATTGTGGCACAAATAAATACGTTGGGCCTTGCGCACCTTATTCTCGCGCTGCGCTGAGTTGCAGAAAAGGCGAAATAGCGACGCTAATATGTTGAAAGTTATCGAAAATGACAATCTAGATGAGAAAATTTCAATTATTTGTATTTTCAGTTTTGGCGCGAAAATCCTACATAATATCACTTTAATAATTTTATTTGTTGAACATGGCAGAAGAAAGAAAAACATTGGAAAACAAGGAATGCAGGAATGGAATGCATGATTGTTCACTTACCATCCAGCCATGCCACAGACCTTACCCAGCCTTAAAACAAGAGACAGACTATTGAGGAGTTTGTAAGTAGGACAGTGGGTAGGATGACATGATTTTGTGGTCAGGAAGATGAAAGCAAACTGTGCAGATAGATGTTTTGTGACATCAGCTAATGGCTGTGTCTTATAGCTAATCCCCAGACATCTTTTGATGATAAATGAGTGGGAGGGCTCAGAACACCTCAATAGTCAGAATTTACAGTCTGACATTGATGGCTATCCTCTTCTTACATGGTTGGGTAGTAGCTTTTATTCTATATTCTAATGTAGGGTATTTTTGAAAGGATATATGCTACTGTCACATCATTACATGACATGATTTTCCACACTGTATGTGTTTCTGTCAAAATCTAACATTTTGGTTAAGTTACATCAAAACGCATGTCCCTGTGGTGGCATATGTGGATTCTGTGGAGGGTGGGGGTTCAAGCCCTGTTTGGCACGACTGGTTTGGGTTACATCCATAATTTTGGATAGGGACATAACGTCAGCATCCCTGTGTATTGCGGAGCTTCATGTATAAGCCTCAAGGAATCAACCCACTGCATGTTAAAGAGCCCAAGACTACGATTGACCCAGTGACAGTGTGCTTGGCAGAAAAAGCAAGCAAAGCTGCATCCAGCCATGCCACAGACCTTACCCTGCCTTCAAAGTCAAACAGGAGACAGACTATTGAGGAGTTCGTATTATAAGTAGGACAGTGGGAAGCACTACGTCTGTCTACTTGGAGAAGCATCATGCTTCAGTTGAGATGTGGATGACTGGTTTGCCTGTTAATTGAATTTTCCTCCTCACCACTTAGTCCATTTAACATGTCACCAAGCTTCATGTAGGATGTGCAAGTGAGATAAAATCTATGACAGAAAGCAGCCCTGGCATAAGCAAAAGTGGAAATTCTGGACCATTAAGCAATGGGCAACAATTTTTTGTACTTTTTAATCTTTTTCAGGTAAATCAAGAAAAGATTGGGAGAACTGAGAATAAGGCCACACCAATTTAATTTGTTGGTTCTCGGATTTCGCCTCTTCGTTTTTTTCTGATTTGCAAAAAAAAAAAAATTGATTCTTTTCCTGAATCAAGTGAAAAATGCTCATGTTTTGCCCCCCAACAGTTGAGGAAAGTCCTTTTCTTCCTATTTGTTACAGTTTTCTCATCTATCATTGCAGTGGTTTGATAAAAAGTTCAAAATTCAATGTTTAAATTTTAACCCAGCCCTTTGTGTTGACTTCATGGCTCATTTCGTACCATTTAAGCCTATAATTAGGATGCCTAGACCTGTTTTTATTTTTTTTTTTCGCCCTAGGCCTGTCGCTTCATATTTTTTCTGAAAAAATCCGAGAACCAACAAATTAAATTGGTGTGGCCTAAATAATCATCACTCCTCCAGCGGAGTCAGTGATTGGTCAATAATAAATATGGATGGAA